ACACACACACACACACACACACACACACACACACACACGCACACGCACACACACACACACACGCACACGCACACACGAATACACACACACACACACACAGGCACGAATACACGCTCTGACCCGCATACAAAACTGCACACATGAACAAACACACACACACACATGAACAAACACACACACACATCAACAACAGCAGGGCCGCCATTGCATCACGGGCGGTGTCGCTTTGACGCCACGGGCGCCTGTGACGGGGAGCGCTTCATGTCCGATGAAGGCGGCGGCATGTGCATGTCCTCCTCGCTGGCAAACGTGGCTGGCGGCAGGGTCGGGTGCGGGTGCGGCGGCAGCTGGTGCGGGACGTGGTGTTGCATGTGCGCCATCGTCATGTGTGGCACGGGCGCGTGGCTGACCGACGGGCTGTGCATGTGTGTGGGCTGGCCGAGGTGCGGGTGGTGGTGCTGCGGCAGCGACTGCGGGGGAACCATGCTCATCGGGAGCGGTGGTGGCGGCGGGTGGACGGGGTGCGGCAGCGTCGGCTGCTGGGAGAGCGGCATGCCCGGCTGCTGCATCTGCGGCATGTGCGGGTGCTGCGGCGCGTGGGAGAACGGGGGCATGTGCGGGTGCTGCGGTGCGTGCGACATGGGCGGAACGTGGCTGTGGGAGTGGGGCGGCGGGGCAATGGCGTGTGGCGGCGGCGGGTGCAGCTGGTGGTGGTGGTGCGCGTGCGCGTGCGCAGGGTGCTGCTGGTGCGGGTGGTGTCCGTGGTGCGGGTGGTGGTGGTGGTGCGGGTGCTGCGGGCCCGGGTCGACAGAGTCGATGGGGTGCGGCAGGTTGATGTGCTGCAGGTCGTTGCGCAGCTCCGGCCGCAGGTGGTCTGTGCGGAAGTCGATGCCCGGCGTGCCGGCGAGCGACGGGTCCAGCGACGGGTGCTGCATGGCCGGGTGCGCCTGAGGTGGCGGCAGCTGGTGCTTCATGCTCACGTCTGGGGCGCCCTCTGCGTTGGGTGGGTGGCAGTGCTTGCACAGGTTGCGTAGCTTGGAGGCGGCGTTTGCCCGGCGGTTCAACTCGCTCTCGTTGCAGAAGAGAAGATAGAACCGCGTGACGCAGTTGAGCATCGTGTAGTACTGGTGCGACTGATGTTGTGATGGTGATGGCGGCGGTGGACAAGAGTGAGTGCAGGGAAAGCGTCAAGTGGTGAATGGATGGTGGGGTGGGCATGTAGGCGTGAATGGGTGAGAAGGGGGGGGGGGGGCAAGCAAGGCCGAGCCATGAAGATCGAGTGTGTAAAGCATGGACAAACACAAGACGCACAAACACCCCACACCACGCCACACCTCGTGCGAGATGACGAATTCCTGGAGGGCGTCCTCGTACGCGGCCTGCGCTTCGGCGGAAGGGGCGTGGTTCTTGCTCGCGTGCAGGTCCTTCTTTGCCATGTTGAACGCGTGTTTCTTACTCGTGTAGTCCTCCACCACAGCTTGCGGCACCGTGCGAAAGTGCGCAGTGTCTGCATCGAGTGAATGAGTGAGTGAGTGTGAGTGTGTGTGTGTGTGTGTTTGTATATATGTTTGTATGTTTGTATGTTTGTGTGTGTGTGTGTGTGTGTGTGTGTGTGTGCGGGCGTGTGTGTGTGTGTGTGTGTGTGTGGAAGTGTGTTGTCACGTGTGTCTGTGTGAGCATGTGTCCGTATCTCAAAGGGCGTTGACACAAAAACGCTACCCAAAACAACACCATATGAAGAAGAGTCATCATGTGTGTGTGTGTATGTAAAATACGCCGCCAAGGCAGGGTGCGACTTACTCCGCGGCACCATGTTGCTGTCCTTGTCGTGGATGTGGATGGAGGATTTGCGGCAGAAGCCGTGCAGGAAGCACTTGGTGTGACCTTCTTGCACCTTATCTGGGTTGGGCACGTGATACATGAAGCATGCCTTGCTCTCAGGATAAAGCTGCTGGGCCTTGCGAATCTGTTCGAGACGGTGAAGCGGCAAAGGGGGGGGGGCAACGTGGGATGGGACAGGGAAACGGCCATGAGTGGAACAGAGGCGGTGGCGCTCGTTTAGCTTTCGCGCACACAACTCTGAACACACGCGCTCGTTTAGCTTTCGCGCACACAACTCTGAACACACGCGCACGCGCACGCACAGATGCGCAGATGAACCCACACACATACGCACAAAGTGCACACATGCAAAAAAAAGTGCACACATGTACACATGTGCACATATGCACGCAAGTACACAAACACACAAGTACACACATTTGCGCAAAGTGCACATGTGCCCAAACGCAAAGCAACTGCTTCGTACCATGTCCCTTGCTTTGCGAAAGAGCTCCATGGCACGATGGCGATCAACGGTCTGTGGCACCTCTTGCGCTTGGACAGGTGGTGGCGGCTCACAATCGCACATGTGGCGCTGCCTCCCAGACGGCACAATCTTGCCACATCCTTTGCACTTGCGCAAGCCTGTGTTGGAGCGGTTTGGGGTCAGCGGTGGTGAGAGTTATGTGGAGTGTGCAGGGAGGTGGCGGGCAAAGGGGAAGGTGAAGCGGAAAGGTCAACGACAGCGGGACAGCACGGGGCTCAGCGCATAGCAGAGAAGACGCAAACAGCAAATTGTACACACGCATTCACAGGTGTGCGCGCACACAAAGATACGCAAACACACACAAAGATGAACATGCAAACACGCACGACACACACGCACACGCACACGCACACACACACAAACGCACACACAAACGCACGACACACACACACACACACACACACACAACGCACGACACACGCACACACACACGCACACACACACACACACACACACACACACA